GTGGGTGCAAAGTCGCAGCCAGGAGTGGTGGGATTGTTATGTGCTTTACTGCTTCACTGACACTGAGTTCATACACAATTTTCGTGTATGTGACGAGAAGAACGTTTGTGTACATTTGTGAGCACCTACTCGTGCAACTCTCGCAGGAGGAAACACATCGTCAGCGGCCTATTTCAGTCAGCAAACACATCGGCGTTGGGCTGTATTGGCTCGCAACAGGTCCTTGTTGCCGTGTTGTTATGACGTGTAGATGGGATGAATGCGACCTCACCGTTCAGAATGAAGTCGCATGTCAGTCGGTTTTAGGAGCACATATCCAAGTAGCCTGGGTCGCATTTGAAAAAATCAGATCTGTGTCATTCAGACTGTCCTTAAAAGATCGGATACAGGTCTAATAGGGGCAAAAAAAAAATCGGATGTGGGTCACTTCAGGCTGCAGTCTCAACGTAGCCTTAGTTTGCTTTTTTATAATAACAATTCTTTACAGTGATATTGTGGTTTTCAAGTTTGACAACCCCCTTAAAGTGCTACACTGTGATCACATTTAAGTCACTCTGTAGTCTGTGATGATCAGCCTCTCATAGCCACAGCTGCCCTGGGGTAGACTGACGAAAGCGAAGCTGCCAGTCTGCACCATTGGCCTCTCCAGCTACCTAACCATCTTGCTCAACGACACAAAACAACGTGCACTGGTGTGATTGGAGTTCAAACCACTGACTTTGAGTAGAGTAGAGTCCTTGTGCTCACAAAAATCAAGTTTAACCTACACTGTAAAATGGAAAACACAGAGGCTAAGGTTTGTTTTCCGATGTTGTTCAACTGGTTCAAGAATTCATAGGGGAGATACTTCATTTCCTTGTATAAAATGTGTAGTTTTATGTTTGCTTTTCTGACTGTATTAGCTTGCTTGGTCATAAATAATAAAATGTCTTTAGAGGAATCATTACATTTGACTTACTGTAGAAGTAGTAATGTAATGTTCAGTCTGGAAACATCCTGTCTCCAATATCTTTATGTGTATTCCTGGTATATTTCTATTTCCCCAAACCATATGCTATCCAGTCACACTTAAACCCCAGAATGCACCAGCTCACTCGTTAAAATCTCACAGCATTCCCTCAGGTCGACTCTCAAGTGATTTAAAAATTACCTGGAAATATTCAGCAATTCCTCCTTCCCTGAAATGTAGATTGTAAAACTAACCCCAGGGCTGGAAAGTAGCTGTGGTTTCTCGGAGGTAGATCTTCCCATCTGTGACTCAGGTAAACAAACAGCCCAAACAGATTTATTTGTATAGTCTCTCTTTAGGCACACTCCACACTTTTTAAGATTGTTTATGGAAAAGGAGGATTTTTTTCTTCGTTTTCAGTCGTTCGGTTTGTAAAAAGTGCGTATTGTGCATTGCTTAGTTTCAGTCAGATGGCCCATTACACTGTTTTCTATGCTATGTTATTTCCTCATCAGAAACATACCTGGAGTTGTTTTTTGTTTTATTCACACATATTTAACACACAATCCCTGCATATTTAATTTCTCAAACAGAAAATGCTCTACTGTGTTTTTAAACACCATGCACTAGAATAATTTTGATGATTTTGGCTCTGGAATTGCCAATCTCTTTTGAACTCAAGGTAAAAGGAGCTGTTGACTTGAAATTTACCACTACATGACATCACAAGGTGGGGCAGAGCATTTTGAGCTTTGGAAATGTGGTCAGACTCATAAACCAGGATTACTGCGTGATGTGTAAATGAAATAAAACACAACTCCAGGTATGTTTTTGATGGAGCAACAGCATTCGAACAGGTCTTAAAGTTCACAAGAATCAACTTTGGTAATACCAAAAGGTGCACTACGCAACTTTTCTGGTACATGGTCCTCTACCTACTTGAGATGTTATTACTTGCCTTTGAGTTTATTCATTACATGTGTTTCTATCGCACAAAATAATGGTAAATGGTCACATTTTTATATAGCGCTTTTCTAATTTCAGGGCACTCAAAGCGAGCCAGGCTGGGGCCACCTAGTGCCTCTGCTCAATTTCATTTCTCTTCAGCGACTAGGTCAGGAATCAGAATACACTACACGATTTGCAAGAACCCGGAAGTTGTAGACCGTGCACTGGCCAATCAGCGAAGAGCTGTGAAACCATGACATCAAACTGAAGCGCCTGTCTGGGCCCATTTCGTGGAACAGCACAACCATAAAAAAAAAAACGGTCGAGATGGATGTAGACGAAGACATACATTCTCTGTTGGCAACAATTCCCGAGATTGAGGATTTAAAGCCGGAAGAAAGAGAGTGTTTGGTGAATTTTATCAAGGGGAAAGACATTATTGCCCTTCTTCCTACAGGATTTGGTGCATTACATACGTCAAGACCAAATAGCAGCGATTGGTTAAATAAAAACAGTACCTGCCTACCATCGAGCGAATGAATCCTGCAAGGACAGATGTTTTCCACGAAGTGAAACCGGCTGATGAATCAGAGTAACTCAAAGCACTTGATAACAAGGAACCACTCGCCCATTCACACATCAGTTTGTGCAGACACTATGGGCGAGGTAGGCTGCCAGTCTTGCCCAAGGACACAACAACAGTCATCTGTGGGAGCTAGAATCACACCACCAACCTGTGGGTCTGTGTATCTGACTGCTCAACTAATGAAGTTAATGTCGAGAGCAGGTTTCAAACCGCCAACCTTCAGATCAGTGGACAAGTTCTCAACCAACTGAGCTGCTGTTGCCCTAATAAAAACTCTCTGTGAATAGGGGCGACTCTCCACAGATCTGAACTGTAATGTAATGAAGTGCTGTGACCTGCTTGTCTCTTTTGATAGATAGGTTTAATCTATCTCTACTGTGGAACATTCTAAACAAAGCAATAACATTCCATGGAGATAAGCAGATGGCGGACCCTCCACTAGAAATGTTCCACAGTGCACCTTTAATATAGCACATACTAGGGCTGCACAATATATTACAATCTAATGAAAGAATCACTATTTGTGTTGACGCATTTGGGAAATTTCAAAGGCTTTTATTTCCAGAATTTCCTCCCCTAACATTTTTGTGAATTCTTCTGGACGTTTAAAATGTGAACTTCTGGATCAAATCACTAATCTAATCGCAATGCTTGTCAGAAAAAAAATGTCGCTCAAGTCTTACTAGCACTTTGTTTTGTTTAACTATACTTCAATATGTCTAAAATGTCAAAACATTCTTGAAAAAAATCTCCAAAATTCCCTTTACAGAGTTCAAGAATTTGACCTTAGAAACTGAAAGTGCTTGATTGACAGCTGCCCTCGCCAGTCCGTGCTGCCTCGAGGGTGGCGTTCTGCGGAGTCTGGGCTGTGATTGGTCGGTTTGGTGCTTGTGGGCGTTTCTCTGTGTGAATGTTTGTGCGGAGGTTAAGCAGCAGCAGTGATGGGAGAAGAGGAGATGGCCTTATTTAGTCACGAGGCTCAGGGCGTCCCAGGCTCTGCTCCTCTCTCTCTCTCTCTCTCTTTTACACTGTATCTATCTGGGTCTGTCATAGTACAAGTCGAATGGTTGACCAAAGAACTACTGTAGTGTAATTGTCGTCTTCACTGGAGTGGACAGAGCTTCATTCAGTTATCCAAATAGTCTTTTTTTATTCTCTGCTAGTGGGAGATATTTAAAGGAGACATTAGCAGGAATAAATAACACAACTTGTAATAATAATTAGGGGTGTGGAAAAAGTAGTATTAGCAGTATTGTTATCATGGGCTCATTATATCATCATTTTTTTGTGACCACACCACAGTTTTGATGGTTATTTAGTGGAAGGAAACTCGTTTATGCAATACACATCGCATATTCACTGTTTTAAAATGTATTTGGTTCTTAAAAAACAGCAATATATCATGTGAAATATATGAATAAAATGAAAATTAAATGGAAAAATACTGTATGTATCGCCATATAGTGATAATATTGTATTGAGTGTCATGTATCGTGTATCAAATCATGAGGGACTCACTGATTCCCTAGTCTGATTCATCAGCCGATTTCATGTTGTGGAAACAGTCTGACCTCGCAGCATTAGAATTCCTTTGTTCGACGGTAGGTGGGTACTTTTGTTATTTAACCAATCGCTGCTATTTGGTCGTGACATATGTAATGCTCCAAATCCTGTCGGAAGAAGAGCAAAAACGCCCTTGATAAAATTCACCGGCTTTAAATTGTTACGGCTTTAAATCCTCGATCTCAGGAATCGTTGCCAATGCAGAATGTCTGTCTTCATCTACATCCATCTCGACCGCTTTGTTTACTGTTGTGCTGTTACCACAAAAGGGACCCAGTCAGATGCTTGAGTTTGACATCATGGCTTCACAGCTCTTCACTGATTGGCCTCTGCACGGTCTACAACTTCCAGGGTTCTTGCAAACCGTCTATTGTATTCCGATTCCTCACCTAGTTACTGCAGAGAAATGAAATTGAGTGGAGGCACTTGTTGGCACCAGCCTGACTGGTGATTCCCAACCCTAATAATAATAACACTGAACATTGAAAACAGTATAGTTTAGTGAATTTAGGTTAAAAAACAAACAATCTCAAAACCTGATTAAACATGTTTGCCACTTAAACTGCCAGCAACTTAATTTTGCAATAGGGGATTAGTTGCAATTTTTTTGATGGTCCTGCCCTCAAAAGGCTTCTTAAGTTTTACTTCACAAAATCAGTTTCTTAAAATGATCCTTTATTGTTTTGTATTAAAGGTTTGAATGCTCCAAAAATCAGTTTTTTTCACTATCTCTGCCCACTGCCTTTATACTTATAACAAAAAATGTTGGGATTCAGTAGTGTTGCTTAGCCATTTTTCAAAGACGAATCATGTTAATGTTAATGAAAATGTGTCAGTCAAAAACCTAGAATAATTCTCAACATTAGTCTTACGTAGAGCAGTGTACAGTGTGAGGACGTCTTGAGAGTAAACACAAGCCTTTGTTGAGACTGATCTTGTCCTTTTTTCCTGTAGGTGAGCTGTTCATGGCGGAGGGTCGTCTGAAGGAGGCGCACTTCTGCATCTCTGAGGCCAGTACTCTGTTCCCAAACTCCCACTCGGTGCTGCTGCAGAGGGGGCACCTGGCCGAGCTCCGCGGGCAAACCCAGGAGGCCAAGAGTCTGTATGAGGAGGCCCTGGCCATCCACCCGACCGGGGAGAAGATCCTGGTGCATCTGGTGAGGCTTCTTAAACTGTGGGATGGGTTCAGCGGGGGATATACAGGGTCCTATACTATACTAAGGCTCTTCTAAAACTTAGTATTAAAATTAGATGCTCATTTGAAGTGTATATTTATAAGAAACACACACATAAATAGTATAAAGTTGCCTCAATAGCTTTGGAACGGTCTTGATCTCTATCAGAACTCACTTCAAGCTACAGTCTCTAATTAGATTGGTTGTTGTATTCTCACATAACACCACTAAATGCTGTCTCTGTTAATTCAGTCTGATAATGTGCCAGCTTTGGCCTGACAGAAGAAGAGCAGAGAGCACAGGTGAGGCCAGTGGGCTCTTTTCACGCTTACTTTACAAACCAGGAAGACACTTTGGAAACATGCGAACGACAACTTCCGGCGCGCTCTCTTCCCGGCAGTAAGTCTGATAAAATGTAGGAAAAATTAGAAAATGGACCATGGTTTTCTTCATCTACTTGTCATTGTAGCGTTCCGTTATCTTCAGCTAATCAGCAGTTACAACTAGGGATGTAGCAATAACTGAAATATCGTGATATCGTATCGTCAAAGTTCTCACAATAATATCATGGACCATCACAAAATATCCAATTACAAGTGTCTTTGCTTAAATTAAGAGTTATGGTGCAGCAATAGCAGCAAAAACAGAGGGAACTACATAGACCATGATCCTTTGCTCCATTTCATTGCAGACTACAAGAAGAAATTACAGTTCTAAGCACTTTTAAGTCTTGGATTAAGTCTTGTCAAGACATTTTAAAAGGAAAAAGTAGCATATTAGGGACCACAAAATATCGCAATAAATATCGTACTGTGAGATGTATATCGTGAAAATATCGTACCGAGAGATTTGGATATTGTTACATCCCTAACCGAGAGCCTCCCCACCATATCATGAGCTTTCCCACGATATCGCAATAAATATCGTATCTTGAGGTTCATACCGTAACGTGAGACTTGAATATCGTTACAACCACACATCAGTTTTCATAATTTCCCCACTGACACACAACTCCGAGCGCACTGGGTACATGTGATTAGAATTTGTGCCAAATTCAAGGTGATCCCAAACAGCACATACGTACGCAGTCTCCATTTTACCGCTGATCACATTTACTTCAGTGGGTTTGTAGGCGAGCCCAGTGTCAGGAACTACACCGGAAGTTGTCGTCGCATGTTTCCAAACGTCTTCCTGGTTTGTGACGTCAGCGTGAATAGAGCCAGTTGAGGGGAGGAGCAACAGGTTTCTCATTTGCCATCTACTAGTTAAAATAATATGAAATAAACATACAAACAATAGCTTTAAGATCACATGGCAATAAAGGAAATGTCAATAAATCTGTGTTTCAAGTTACAGTAAACTGTCGAACAAAAGTGTTAATAGTAATATCAAAATTGGTACTGAATATCGAGCCTTTTGAGTTTTGAATTTTAGTTTTGTCTCTAGTCACTAGTCAAAATCAGACCTCTGTGCGCTGTTTGCATCCAAATACAAGGCCTATTTATCATCTACAAATCTAGTAGTGCTGGTGGTGCGGTGTTAGCCCTGGGTTTTGTCTTACCGAGTTTTGTTATGATCATGTTTAATATCAAATGACTTCATTGATTTTGGGTTTATAAGTGGGCTAGTTCTATTTGAGCGAGTTATTGATACTACTAAAAGTGCGTGAAATTGTATCTTTTCTATACCAGTGGGTTTTATGCTAATAACTGGAGTGAATCATTGAACATTATAGCCTTAACTCTAACTAGATTTAATGACATAGATCTTACACAGTGGTCTTTACTGTAATGGAGACATGCTAACATCATGCTTGGCCACACTAACTCCGCTCAAGCATTTTACTTCTGGTCATTAAGTTACCATTGATGTCCACAGAGCAGAAACACACTTAAAAATGGCTTATATAACATGATTAGATTATTTTACACTGTAATTTACACCACCGCATCCGTGCCAAACAGCCTGGGTTTGAAAAACAGAACTATTTTCAACTGGGGACGGGCGATGTTGACAAAAAAATTCAACATGTTTTTGAATATTCTGATGTTTTCTTATATATTTTTTTCCCCAACCTAATTAGACTTTTTACACTGTGGGTCTTAGTTTGAGTTCAAGACTTTTTTAAACATATATATCGTAATTTTCAAACTATAAGTCGCTCATTTTTTTTAAGGTTTGAGTGGTGCTGCGACTTATACTCCGGTCCGACTTATATGTTCAAATTTTCAGCTCGAGGGGGGCGCTCTAGGCTTGTGTGCCAGTATTTGATACTCCTATTACTCCTGTACCACTGTCACTTGGCTCTACTGCGCATGTCTCCTGCAGAAAGAGCCACTGTCCTGTCTGTATCATGTCCGTCGATCGCACCTTTACTTCTGTACCACTGAACAATTTAACATTTAAACAAACTTATAAACACAACTGAGCAGACTGAACACAAATGCCCTCAAAAAGAAAATCATGTTTTGCAGATTACAAGCTGCAAGTAGCGAGCCAAAAATAGTAATCGAGCAGCAGAAAGAAAGTGTGGAGTGAGAAACTTGTGACAATCTGGAGGATGCATCATGCAACTTTCCTGGAAGTCACTGGATGGATCAACAAAGCTTGAACTTAAGTGACACCGAAACCATCTTGACAGGATTCAGAAAGGCCGGAACCAGTAATAGGTTAAAAGCCTGTTAGTCTCTATTCTATTGTTATTATTACTATAACTTGCCTTTTGAGATGAAATGTCCGTTCCTGGTCTCTGATTTTATAAGATACATTTCCCCTTATAGTCCAGTGCGACATATATGTTTTTTTCTTCTTCATTATGCATTTTTTGGCTGGTGTGACGTATACTCCGGAGCGACTTATAGTCAGAAAAATACGGTAATCAAAACGCCTATAGATGCATGTTAGATAAGTGCAGGGTAGTACACAGGGGGAACAAAGAGGTCTGTTGTCCTGTGTCCCAGGGTTTTAGGGACCCAGAATTTGACCTTTTTCGTATTAATTTATATTAGAGGGGGGCCCATGTAAGGCTTCTTGCCCCAGGCCCCCATATTTCTGGCGACGGGCTTGAATAAGTGTAATATCATGCTGTGGAACATTCCAAGCAAACATAACATACCCCCACAGGAATAGTCACATTTTACACCTTTAATCTCTCCTCTATCCTCTCTGATACCTGTATTAAAATAAGTGTCATTAATCAGTTATTTATAGGGACATTAAAAGTTGACAGGTCTTTAAGTCACAGTATTTTTAGAGTTTCTGGACCCAGTTCAATTTTAACATGTATGAATTATCTGTTAGTAGTTAGTATTTCATTTGATGTTGCCATGTTTTTGACTCCAAACCTGGCAACCCTCTGACCACATAAGGTTAACACTTCTCCAGCTCTAGTGGTGTGTTTTGTGTGTTTTTACGGGCAGTCCCACTGGGGTAGACAGAGTACGCAGCTCTTCCATATTTGGCCTGTGGGAGAACCGGTCCCGGGGGGTGAGGAGTGGAAGCGAAGCCAGCTGGCAGCCTCCGATTGTGGGTTTGTTACGGGGCAGATGTGCCTGTGTCTGTGTGGATCTGGCGCTTGCACATGTGGACCCATACGTTCAACACTTAAGCTTTGGATAGAGGCCAGGAGAGTGGGAGATATGCCATAAAAAATAATTACATCACCGTTTTCTTAAAGCCTGGAACACATTTTAATTTCATGTCAGCGCATGTTCCCTTGATAATATTGCCTTTAAGAAGTAACTAAAGCGATCTGATTTCCCTTTTGGCTGTGATTGGTCACTCACTCAGAACATGACGGAGGCTGACCAATAAGAGAAGAGGGCGGGGAAAAGTGCTGATGACGATATCATCAAAAAAGCAAATGTCATACGCATCATATTACAGTTAGATTTTTAATGTCATCTCACCCAACCCCATCTTAAACTAGCAATGCTTTATACTCACTGACCTCTCCAAGAGTCATAGAACTCTTTTATTTATTAGATCATTTTGATAAAAGTCTATTTATTTTCATTGACCCTACTTACTTTTCCTTGTTTTCCATTCATTAGCTCTAGTTTAAAGCTGATATAGTTCTGCAAAATCAACTTTTTGCTTCTTGCAGCCTGCTTCTAGATCTACATCAGTATTGCAGTTTACAATTAACAAAATGTTTATTAAAAAAATATCTACAATTAGGGCTGGGTATCATCAAGATGTTGCCGATACAATGCATATATATCGATACAGTGTGCTTAAGATTCGATACGATATATTTCTAACTGATTCGATATGGTTCAAGAAAAAAATAAAGGCTAAATGATGGCGGTGATACTAAAAGTCCTTGTTAAACCACTTCATGTGCAAAGTTAATATAAAACACACCAGTTTTAATCATCAAAACAGTGAAAATGTCAAACGTGTCGCATAAACAAATTTCCTTCCACTAAACAAGCAACAAAACTGTAGTACTGTAACAAAATAATTTAGTAAAATATACCAAAAAATACTCTTGGTGATATATCGTTACAGCAGCCCACGATATCTATACTGTATCATATTATTAATTGATATTTTTGCACACCCCTATTATCTACATATGGTATACAAATGAAAATTTAATTCTGTTTACTGGACATAAGTCTTTAAGAGTGAATGATTTTTTTAGGTTCTGAATTTTACTCATGATAAGTAAAATACCAATGTCCAGAAGTTGTTCAACAAGGCTAGACAATGTAAAATATTGGATTTTGAACTTAAAATGCAACTATTGGTCTGTTTCAGATAACATCTTAAAATTCTACAGGCCAGTTATATTTATTTAACTTTATTTAACCAGGAGGTCCCATTGAGATTCAGAATCTCTTTTTGAAGAGAGACCTGCCCAAGGTAACAGCCAAAACAATGAATAGAAAACAGTAAAATCACAAAATATCACATTATAAAAAAGCTCTCTCAAAAAAGCATACACAACTCGGTCACTACTAGGGCTGGGGATCATT